CGGGGGAGCCGCATGGGGAACTCGGGAAGCAGCCCGCTCCCGGGGTGCCCACCAGGCCGAGATCACCGAGAGAGGAATAAGACCTAAGAGAAACGGCCACACCGACACCAGGTCAGTCAAGATGGAGCGGGAGGAGGTGTGCTGGAGCTGAAGTTTCCCCTGCAATCGGTGGTGAGCTGGCAGGCGGCCCCCCTGCAACCAAGATAGACTCGGCGGAGCAGAGACCCACTCACGGCCCATGGAGAAGCCCACGTCGGGGAAAGAGATGCCTGAGCATAGGAGAGGTCATGGAGCAGGGGATGCACGACCAGGTACTGTCAATAATGGAGCTTGGGATGCACAACGAGGTCGTGAGGCATCTAGAGTCCACGGGACAACCCACACCAAAGCAAGTGGCAACAGCTCCCTAAGAATCCAAGACTGTGGTGAAGCCCGCATTGGAGTAATCCGATGGGGAAGGATTACATCCTGCGGGTAGGACTCAGCCTGAGAGAAGTTTGTGGATTTTTCTCATGAATAGGAGATCCACTGGAGCAAGGGAAAAATGGTGTAAGGACTCCTCCTCCTTTAAGAAAGGAGCGGCAGTAACAACATGGATGAACTGACCTGCACTCTCCCATTCCCTGTCCCCCTGCACTGCTGGGGGGGAGGTAGAGCCAGGAACAAAAGGAAAAAGGGGGTGGGGAGGTGTTGTTTTAAGATCTGGCCTTGTTTACTCTTTATCCTCTCAAGTAACCGGTTTTGTTTCCTTTTGTCTTTGTTTAAGCAGCTGTTAATAAATTGTTTTGTTTTAAGAAAAAGCCTCAGTCATGTTTTGCCCGGGTCCATGGTTGGTGAGTGCTCCCTGTTGGTTCTTGTCTTGACCCTCAGTTCCTTTTATTATAAAACCACGACACTGTGGTGGGATATGCAGTATTTAACACTACTCGGTAATCAAGATGATTCTAGCAGAAAAGGTGTCCGGAGTCCCTAATTTGGATTTCAACTAATATTTAAACACAATCTAGTGTCATATATACGCATAATTCCAAACTTTACTTTTAAAAAAGCATCTAATCACCAGAAAAGTCATGTCACAAACATAAAAATGGCCCCAGAGGACTCTGCACCAAAAATTCCAAACAAGTGAACAACGCAACTACAAGTGTTTTCTTGCTTGGCAGTCACCTTTCCACTTTTTTCCAAGTTTTGCCATGTATTTATCAGAAAAGCATGTTCTACTTGTAGAAAACTCTCATTTTCATATTTTATTTTTAGTTGCCTATTGAAATGCCAAAGACATTGGGCATCCATAGAAAAACATCAATTCAGAACCAGTATCATCAGATCCACAGATCAACTCGTCATCAGCATGTAAAGAGGCACAAGCTGTCCACCTTTTCACATAGCTCGAGTCTGGACATAATTTTCCTCTGCTTGAAATGCAAACTGTACCAACCTCTATGTAATACATGTGAACTCTAAAGGAATTTTACAGATTTTCTTTTTTGTGATATGATATTTTCCTAAACTTCAAATTACAACTGCTGTTCAGTCTGTCATATCCAGAAATACATTTCATTCTTCTGACTCTTGAAAGACAAAACTGTTTCCTCAAATATTTAGTTAAAAGTTTTTCCTATTTTTCATGATGCTTTAATTTGAAACTACTTTTAGACACAGAAGAATTAGAGTAGAGCTCTAACTCTACTAGAATGGAGCTCTATATCCAAAATTCACTGGAGTATTATTTGAATGAGATGTGTGATAGGAAAACATAGAATTTTTAGTAAACAAGATGGAAAAAAATTTGACCCCCCACTCATATAAGAATAATTAATGTCAATAACACTTACCGAACTAATATTCTGTTGATTTTTCTTTACTCTTTCGATCTCTGGAGTCTCTTTTACAGCTGTGCCAGCTCCTACTTCCTTCTTATAAAACACCTTCATTTCCCCAAACGAAAAAGTAATTATGAGACCGTTAGCAATGCAAGTACAAGTTCTCATAAAAGGGCTGGGCAATTTTCCAAGTTCCAAATTGGTCTGATGATAAATCTTGCTAAGAAAGCACATACTTTAATTTTTCATAAATCAGACCAATTATCAATAACTATAATAACATTCTGTTTGTATTCAACTGTAACCCAGATCATCTATTATCATCCTTTAGACTGACCTCAAACATTTGTAAGTGTTCATAATGATAGTTTTAACTTTGGAAATAATATTAAAATTTAGATCATAATCTATAATCATTTACAAATGCAACTTTATGCTTGAGTAATCTCACTCATTTCAGTGTATTTGTTTGTGTATGTACATTCAAGATTTAATTGGTTTTTAATCTTCAGATCTTAAAATACTCTGAGAAGTGAACATATATTATTATTTCTAATTTAGCAAACTAGAAAATTGACATATTCACGACAAAATAACCACAACAGCCAGAGCTACAATTTTGATTTCTGGGTTCAAGTCAGAAAGTTGAGAAATGCATCTAACAACAAAGCTCACTTCTGAAAAGATACACATGCTATTTATATCGTTCTCCTCTCTTTTCTAACTGTTTCAGTAAAGGATAAAACACAGTGCATCAGTAGAATCAATCATTCAAAGTTACTGAAAGAGACAGTAAATAACTGCTCCACAAATTCCATATGTGGCTATAATTTTAATAACCATGGAGAGTCAGTTCATGCTGGAAAACTCAAAGTTTTATTTCAATTTCAGTATTTGGTGTTACAGCTGTTGCTATTCCAGTATTTCCAGGCTGGTAGTGTGAAAACAAGTCTGATCCTGGAATTGATAAAATAAATCTTTATAATTTAGTATTTCTGCCCTTCTCTAAACCAAGATTTATTTAACTTTTTTTCCTATCAATAAACCTTGAACAATAAACCATCATTCTTGATGCATTTCTCCTACTTCCTTGAAGTCCTCTGTAACCTAAGGTGACTAGCACTGTCAAATATTCTAGAGGAGTGTGAATTACTTATGTCCATAACTCATTTTTTAAACATTCAGAAAACCTTTAACAATTTAGAATTTTGTTTTACCATGTGAGAACAGAGAGAGTTTATGAGTAAGAACTTGAAAATTTTTCTGCACCAACATGTCAGTACAATGTAGAAAGATTTACACAGCAGACTGAACTAAAATATATTTTTCTCTACTACCAAGGAGGCAGTGGTAAAAAATGTTGGAGCTGGGAATTGTTCTATGAAAGAGATGACTGTGCAGTAAATATTCTATTGTAAACGATCTGCTAAATGAGCTAGTGAGCTAAAAGCAGCACTGATATTATCTGCAGAGCTAGCCACTTTTTTTGTCCCTTAAGGCAGGAAAATACTTGAGCCAAAATCCAAAAATCAGAAGCCTATTAGGGGTCTCTTTTTTTTTTATATTGGGGCTACTTCCAGCTATATCTTAACTTAGTAATTTACCTTTATAATCTAAATTGCAAGGAACGCTGTAAAATTAAAGTGTAGAGAAAGAAAAAAAAAAAGATAATTCAATCACAGCTATGAATTGCTTTCCTACATTTGGAGGACCCAGTTCAGAAATAGAAAAAGGATGATCGCAAAATAAAGCAAACACAAACCACCTCAAAGTATTTTTATTTCATATTATCTAGTACAGTAAGAAAGAGGATAATTGTCATCTTTGGCACTGAAAGTTCAGACTGGCCTACAGGGCTGCAAGAGGTTCAGATGCGTCAGAGGCTTGTCAAGGCTTAATTAAGTAGTGGAAGGTTATTATGTGCCTGGTACCTAACTGTTAGTGAGTCCGTACTGCCAGACCCGTGACCTATTTGAGGACTCAATCAAAAGCTATCAAAGCCTGGAGCAGGGAGGAAAGCAGATCAGTAGATGCTAGCTTGGATTCCCTCTGTGACACGGAGTTTCAGCATAGCATGTTGAGATGCCAGTGAAATGAGATACAGTGCTAATCACCGTTATCCCATGCAGCAGAGCATCATTCAAAACCAAGAGGCAACAGATTACAAGAAAAATTGGGGCCAGTGGGTCTGTCAACAGCTCCTATTAGAAAGATGGAACAGGTAATGGCTGGAAGACATTACAGGAACGACCACTGCCTAGAGCAGCCTCAGAGACTTTTCTTCTCTCCTTTCCCCGCAGGCTCTTACTTGCCTAGCGAACCTGCAGTGATAGGGGATAGCTGCAGGTAAACACCTCTGAGAGAAACTAATTTACCTTGTACTCATATGGAGTTAGAGGAGCTGAGACTATTTCTTAAGTTAAAGAACAACATCTGTGTCAGATAATACTAAAATACTTAAAGTAACTTAGATTCCTTTCTTTCAGATCATCGGCTTTATTAGTATTACTTGTCTGCCATCAAAACCAGACACTAACTGGGCAGCCTTTGGTTCTGGAGGCTATTTTTACTCCCCTTCTCTTCTCTGTTGTATTACAAGCAAAGCCACAATTACAAACAGCAGAATTAATGGGCCTAAAAAGGAAATGGAACTGAATGCATCCCAAACCAGGCAATTTTAGAAATCTAAACTCATAATTTATATTTAAGGATAAACTGAAACTTAAATCCAGCATAAAATTTAAAAATATATCCAGTATAACATAAAATTATTAGACATATATATTTATGAAACCTGATCTGTTCTAATTTTATACTCGAATCTTGATGTTCTTTACATATGATAGGAAACAGATGAAAAATCTTATACGCATAGTAAAAAGCCTTAGATTTTTTTATCCTTTTAAATAAAGTATTTCCTGGGGTTTGATGGAAAAAGAAAAAAGTTTTCATCTAAAAATAACTGTGGCTTGGCAAGGTGGTATAAGTGGTTTAGCAATTCAAAATAACAGTGTCACACCTAGAAAAGCTCGGTATTATTTTTACTGAGAGAAATGAGTGATACAGTTTTTCCAGGAAAATTATGCAAATGGTTCAAGGGACATTTACTCATAAGTTCCCTATTTCATGCTGTGGCACAAGAGAGCCTATTTAAACTGAAAAATATCTGAAAAGTTGCAAGCAAAGAGACAAGCGCTATTACTCACTGAACTGATGTTTTTCTGAGTATTTTTTATCCTCTCCATCTCGGGAGTGTCTGGGACAGAAGAATAGTTACAGAGCATCTTCTCTGCTTCATCTTTGTACATCTTCTGAAAAATAATTTTAAAACATCTATTTCCTGCTTTCTTGGACCCAGGATATCCAAACTGCAAGAAAATATGCTTATTGATGATTAGTCTCAACATCCTTATACAGTATTTGTCTCAACCTCTCTCCTCCATTATATTGTTATCATTGTCTGTGAAGTACACACACTGAAATATATAATTTCACACACCATCCCACACTGAAAATATAAAATATAAATATATATATATAATATATTCTAATATATAGTCTATGTTTTCCCTTCACTATCAGGATATATCTATCCTTCTCATTAGGTAACATAAAAAGACCTGCAAGTAGACATAAACTATTAAAGTCACTTTACACGGCACGACAGGTGTAAATACAAATCAGAATCCAGCAGTAAGATTTTTTTACTACATGTAAATTAATTTGATATGGGTATGAAAGCCTCTACAGAGATAGAGAAGTCTTTTGAGCAATGCATGTCAGGCACTCATTGTTACACAGAATTAAAACATTCAGCCTTTGAACTAGTCCTACCTGGCTTGCTATTTCTGAAGCTTTTTTGACACGTTGTATTTCAGGAGTATATGGGCCAACTTGCATCCCTTTTCCTATAATTTCAGTCTCCAGATCCTTTTTATATTCCTTCTGAAGAAAAAAGCAGGGGAAAAAAAACATAACTATTTCTACAGTTATTTGTACGTGCTTTCTTCAAAGCTATTCTGACAGCACTGGTCTGACTTTAAAATAAATTCTTCACTTTCTTTACTTTTTTTTTTTTTTTATTGTGCACTGCTGATTCCTTTCAGCCCAAGTACGTTCGAGATTTTATATTTTTGACATCTCATTGTGCTTTACTTCCAAAGTAATCTTAAGAGATTCATTCTGTACTCACCTGGCTTACAATTTCAGAAGCTTTTTTGGCTCGTTGTATATCAGGGGTATCCATGCCTACTCCCATTCCCTTTCCTTTAATTTCATTCTCCAAGTCTTTCTTGTATTCTTTCTGAAAAGAATAGCACTGGAAACACTCATATGTCTGGCAGCCAAATTCTTAAATTGTTCCTACTTTACTCTGTGAGAGTCCACTGGACAGCATTCTTGAAGCACCAAATAACTTTTGGTTCAACAGCATTAGCTCTATAGGATCTATCTATGAGGCACTTATGCTGTAGCTGCTAACCAGTTAAAAAACTCTTTTAAGAGACTGCTCACTTCAAATCTGATGTAGCATTTCACATCTACCTGTCTTTGCAGCTTTGGCAGTCGCAATCACAGTCACATGGAGACAAGACTTTCTTCCTCGGCTGTGCTTTGCAAAACAGGAGTCATAAGGCTTTAGCACCTCTCTAACTCTGTTTATCATTTGGCCCCAACTCAACAAGCAGCTATTTAGACCTAAAAGCAGCAGAGCCTGCAGCTACAGAATGCAGGCCATGCCAGACATGATTTGTGAGGAACAAGCACTACCTGCAAAAGATGATGGAAAGGTCAAAGTTCTGGGAAGTCTTAACTCTCCCATATGCTGATTATGCAACTTTTAGACTCTATGCAGCATATCGGATTAGGTATTTAGTGAAATTTGTGATATTGCCACTACCTAGATTGGAATCACCACCTGGAATTCTCAATGACAATAATTTGTTGCATTCTGTCAAACGGAAAGCTTGCACCAGGTACGGTACTGACCGTGCTTGCAATTTCAGTAGCTTTCTTGGCTCGTCTTATCTCAGGAGTATCTGGACCAACTTGCATGCCCTTTCCTTTAATTTCAGTTTCCAAGTCTTTCTTGTATTGTTTCTGTGAAAATAAAACCTCATACATTATATTCACAACAGCCAGAGAGTTACAGGTAGATTTTTGCACAAGAGATCTAATTTAAGAGTCAATTGAAAAATCTCAAGAGTCACAACTCTCAAGAGTCTTGGCAAGTTTTTGCCAGGAAAACACAAAACAAGCTACAGGAGGGAAACTTGAGCAGATATTCACTGAATGTACAAAACTCTACCACTGAATTTTTAATTTGGCATACAGTGGGGGGAAATCAGTCCATACAGCTTGCTACAATTATCCTCTAAAGTAAAGGGGAAGTTTAGCTCTGAAGAACATTGCATAATAAGATGGTACTTGGTGCCAGCCTAATTGAAACACATTTTACTTTTAAGAAAATATTTTATTTATGAAAAGACTACATGTTAGAAATTTAATACCATACAGAATTGTTTCCAATGAACTTTCAGAGCAGGAAGTTGTAATTTATTCATTTAATAGGTCTTTCCTGAACCATAGCCATTAGGCAAGTGGCAGTACTCATCCATGATTGTTGCTTTTTCCCCACAGCATAAATTATAAATAACCAGTAACCAGGAAACAAAATTAATATCTCATCTTCAGCTTATCCAAGCAAGGATGTATTTCTCATTCATCAGGAAATGATATTAAAATATAATACTGAAATATTGTATACAAAAGTTGTACTTTTTTTTTTAATAAAAAATTAAAAGATTCTCAGGCTGTGCTATTTCTAGTACTAATCATTTTTTTATATTATAGTTTATCTCCGCCCGTGGAAAACAAGTTTGGGTTTTTTTCAAAATAAACACATATAACAAAAATATTTTCTTCTTTATTCTCCTGTTTGTTAACTATTTTTTAGGTTGTACATTAGTTAGAAAGAAGGAAAATATCCTTCTATTCAATGTAATGGTCTGATCACATAGCATAATGTTACAAGAACAAGACCAAAAAGACTTTCAGTCTTTCCTCTCTGTCTCACTCTGATGTGGAAATAAACGTGATAAAACAACTCTCTACTTCTCAAACTATATTTTTTTCCAAAAAGTAAAAGTTAATCTGTGAGAAGACATCATCTCTCTCTTCCTCTCTGCTAAAGATGGAATGGTAGATGTTTCCTCCTAGCTTCCTACTGTGTAAAACACCAAGGAAAAGATAATCCTGGGAGTTACAGCTATATATTCTTGTACTTGCTTACAGTAGCAAGGTTGGCCCTATGCACGGCATTCCCCCTGGTTCTTACGGCTATGTATGTACATCTGTGCAAATAAACATGAATATATATACATATGAATATATAGCAGCCTTCTAGTACTCAAAGAGGGCCTACAAGAGAGCTGGAAAGGGACTTTTTACAAGGGCATGTAGTGATAGGACAAGGGGCAATGGCTGTAAACTGAAAGAGGGTAGATCTAGATTAGATCTAAGGAAGAAATTCTTCACTCAGAGGGTGGTGAGGCACTTGAACAGGTTGCCCAGAGAAGCTTCCACATCCCTGGAAGTGTTCAAGGCCAAGTTGGATAGGGCTTTGAGCAACCTGGTCTAGTGGAAGGTGTCCCTGCCCATGGCAGGGGGATTGGAACTAGATGATCTTTGAGGTACCTTCCAACTCAAACCATTCTATGAATCTATTTGCATTGGATGAACCACAAGCTCAAGAAAATTCATTTCTTCAGGAGCAACTCTAATTTTGGAAAAGGTTTTCACAAGTAGAATAGCTTGTTTGGATAAAAGATCTTCCCAACATGCGTGGCGGTCATTAGCAATAGTTATTTTCAGACAGCAGCTACGTGATTCCAAAAAACTCAGAATTATTTCATTGACTTTTCCTTGCAAGTCCATTAATAGTCAACTCTTTTTCCATTCTAGTATTAATTATACTAACTGAACAAATAAATCAACAGAAAAATGAACCTGACCCCACTAACAATTTCCATTGACCTTTCAATTGCCTGAAAATCTAAAATATTTCTCATAAGTTGTTTTTTTTCCACAGCTTTTCTATATACTTAAAGTAAAACAGAAATAGCCTTAATTTTAATACTTACTCATTTCATTGTAGATTATGTAATAAAAAACTGGAATATTTTCAGTAGAGTACAACATAAAGAGTGAACTTTCTGTGACATCAATAACCTTGACTAGCATAACATACCTCATTTAGTATTTGAGCTGCGTTTTTCACTCTAATCAAATCCGGTGTATCTTCAAACACTGTCATTCCTTTTCCTTTCATCCCTTCTTCCAAATCTTTTCTATACTCTTTCTAAGGATTTAAAAGAAAAAAGAAAGATTTCTCCACTTAATATTGTGTGCAAGATCTTGAAAAAACATGCCACTTATTAAATGTCTGAAGGTTCTCTTTGAAATTTCTATGAAATATGAATTAGCCGAAGTACAGGTTTCAGAGTTAAAATAGAATTGGAAATCATGAAATCAAAAGGTGCAATGTTGAAAAAGTGAAAAGGTTTTAATGTAGTCTTGTATTTTTCTGTTGTGCTCTTGAAAAATAGTTCTCTCCTATACAGCACTAGCACACTGTTTAGGGGCCACAGCTGCCTCTCTACAGACATTTTAACCACTGCAGCATTTGCTTTTACAGACCAATATACACTGTGCTGCAGTTTTTACTTCTGTTCCACTAATGGCATCACGATCAGGATGGATGCCCTGAACACTATACTAGGACCTGTTAAAATGACTGCTTGATAAATTATGATGTAGAAGCAATATTCCTACCATATCACTTCTGAGCTTCTCAGACTCTGCACTGATAAGATCTATCAACATTTAGCAACTGCAGCCTCCGGAGTACTCAAATGTTCAGTATAAAATTAAAAGCACACTAGAATGTGCCCATGGACATTTGGTTTTTGTCTTCCCAATTCCTAGAGAGCTGATATCAGCCTACTGAAGTTAAAGTTTTGTAAAGATTTTTAATTGCTTTTTCCATCTCCAGGTTTGGGTTAGATTTTTTTAAACAAGGACATAGAAAAAAAAAAAAAAAAAAATTTGGAAGGATTTATATAGATGTGAATTACCACTCCTAATCATGTATTAAATTTCAGAAGCAGAAGTGAGCACCTTTGTCGGTATATAAGTTCTTTATTTAAACAAAAGGAAATCAGGTATTTCTAAAGAAGCTTCTCTTTATCACCAGAAGTATGTCCTACAACGAGCAGGAAACAACTTGTATTAATTTAGAACTATTAAATTCAGCTATCTCTTTTGAAAGAGTTGCGAGTATGGTTCCTTACAAGAAAGTTCTTATTGTTACAAAATGCAAAATATTTGCAGAATTCTCTACAGTGGGAAGGCAATAGAATAAGCCGGAACACAGCTGAGACTTAAAAAAAAAAATTTAATTGAACGAATAATTCATTTTTTTAATAACTCCATGTTCTTTTTCTTTCATGCAGTATCAATATACAGTTTACTATGAACCTTGACACAAAAACACTGAGCTACATCCTTGGCTATGAAGAAATGCATCATTTTGCTGAATCTTGAAAGACAGTAATTTATTTGACCTATGTAGTCTTTGGTTTTGGAATCTGTTACCTGAATGTGAATATAAAATAATCTGAAATTCATGCAGTTATGCATTAAAATACCATTTCCATTTTCTTATAGTCTTCTCCTCTGGCTCACAAGCACGGTTTACTCCCTAAGTAATGAGTCACAGAACTTGAGGAGGTAAGAATTAGGGAACCATTTAATGCATGTAGTACTATGGAGATAAGTTACACGGAAATTTTCAAAGATGAACATTACAGCACATCTGCGACTACACATGAACTAACGACTTCCGTGGACATTCAGCGTGTAGCAAGATTAACTCAATGAAATGCAAGCATTTGCATTTTTCGCTAGTCAGCAGGCATATACAAGACATGTACACACACAATGGTACTGCACAAACTAGACCTAGCTTGAGACTTGTCCACCTCACAGCCAAGCTTATTGGAATAAACTATTTATTGGAGAATGAATAATAAAGAAATATCTGAGGAGAAAAATCTTTTCTTTTCCCATATGAAATCTAGCACAGGTTGGGATAAGTTGTCTAAAGAACAAGGAAAGGAACAAGGTTTGAGGGTTTTTAATTCTAGCATTCCCAATTTGTTCATTCAGGCCACAGCAAAAACATCAATTCTTGATAGAATTATTATAAACAAGGTACTATAGGCTCCTAAATTCAAATGAAGGATATCTAGCAGCTCTGATATTTCTACCTATGAATACTCCTAAATTAGGTCAAATAGTGAGCCTAATTTATAGAAACAACCAATACTCAAAACCTGACATGAAAACAGTTTTAAATAACAATATAAAAAGACTAAAGATAGAAGGATTCTCAGCTACAGAAAAAAAAAGTTATTTCATTTATAACGCCACATACAAATGAAGAACACTGGACAAATATTAATGAAACAGCAGGCACACAGAAAACTTGCACCTTCTAACAAAATTTGTTTAAAGCAGATTATGTAATACCACAGCTATATTATGGAATTTTGGTCTTCTTTATTTTCATTCATAATATGTATAATAGATAATTATTTCAATTAAATTAGTTAAAAGTGACTACACACAGCTTGAGGCATCCATATAACCACAATAGACTACCATAAACCTGAAATAATGACTCAAAAGGAAAAATTGCCATCTGGACACTGACAGAAATCCTCCTTTTCACCCCTTCATCTATCTGGAAAGAACACTCCAGGCCCTCCTCAAAACCCTATCAAACAGATGTCTCTTGCAGCATGCCTGGAAGGTCACCAAATTTGGGCTATTTGAGCCCAGGGGAGGAACAAATTCCAAAACTGAGGCCCTCAGAGAGAATGTCCTGCAGTGATCCATTTTCTATAGAGTCATCTGATTTGTTCACTTAACTCTGTTTTCTGGTTCAGGTGTGCTGAGCTTTATCATTTCCTTATATTCATGAGGAAACTTCAAAAAGTGATTGATTCTTACTACAGGACTATTCAGAATATAAAATGACACGTTGCAATTTCTACTCATGTAGTCACTTTTGTAGTTAGCTACCAAGTTAACTGCAAGTTGTTCAGCACTCAGTAGCTTGTAGTGCTGCTGCTTATTGTTCATTTACATCTTAACAACAACAACAAAAAAAAGAAATAAAAATCCTTTACCTCTTTCAGAAGGCTAGTGACTTGTTTTATATGCAAGAACTCTGGTGTCTTGTCTAAATCCATTGAGGGTCTTCCCTTGATCCCTTCTTCAAAATCTTTGCGATACATTTTCTATTGAAGCAAAAGCAACAATTAGTGGTACATGCATGTGCACTTCCAAACATATTTCAGAAAGAACACTGTAAACAGATTTAGAAATGAGCCATGCCATAAATTAGTTATCACATTAATAAGCCACTTTATTACTTATTTCATTACATAGATTATCTATACAAGACACAAACAATTTAGACAAATATACATATATATGATATTTCCAAAGAGAAGGTTTAACCCGATCTATGAAAGAAACAATTTGCTTGGTAGAGAAAAGAGAGGACAAATGGCACACAAGGTAATAATTTTAAACACATAAAAATTTCTACCAAGAGGATGAAATCATCTGTTTTCCATGACACACAGCAAAAATAATGGAATCAAATTGCAGCATGGGAGACACAGGGAAACACTCTCTCAGGACAGATGATGAAGCACTGGGCTAGATTGTCTGGAAGGTCACGAAACCTCCACCATTGGAAGTTTTTAATAAAAAGAGAAAAATATGGCTTGACTTAGGACAGCCAGTGCTATTCTGGAGCCCAAGAACAGTCTTTTCCCCTTGCTGAGCTCCTCAGGCTGAACAGGCAGCGTGTTTCAGTCAAGGCATGGGGTCAGACAGGGCTTTGAGGCTTCACTCACTCCCACTTGAGAACCGTCCCTCATTAAAGATGGAATTAAAGTTAAAAAGTAAAAAAGTTAGCAATCTCTGATCTAGATGACCTCTTAAGCTTCTTCTCAATTAAATGATGCTACATATGATCTCTGTCTAGTGTTAGCATCAATGGTCGTTTGAGAAAAAATAAATTTGAAGGAAGAACTGAGCTACAGAATAGCAAAGAGAACTACTCAGTACTAATTCTACCATACCCTCAATTTATAAAACCTTTAAAATCTCCTTCATCCATTTTCTCAACCTTAGTGCAAGACGTGTTAGCTTCTCTGCTGATCTAAATTTTGCTAGTTCAAGCACAGTTTTACTAACCTCACTTTGCATCTTTTGAGCCTCCTTTGAAACCTGATACATTGGTGTATCCACAAACTCCAGCATTGATCTGCCTTTAGATCTTTCATAATTCTCTTTGTACTTGACCTAGGAAAATGAAAATAAATGTCGTTAACAGCTGAGAGAATGTTGTTTGCTACCGCGACAGACAAATCCTGTCTTAGCCATACTTCTTAGAGGTTTTGACCGGAAGACTCCTCCCAAATTTAACCTGTTGGAGAAATAGGGCAGCTAGACAAGAAATTTTTTTTCTTGAGTCATTTATTCTTTGCTTCAATCTGTCAGACCTAAAAATGGTCAATATTTGAAGACAGCAGGAGTGAAAAGCATCAATCACAATCTTAAACTAATTGCATGATTTTGGCTGAATGACCTATGTCTAAACAGTCAGCAGCTTTTCAACAGGAACCCCTGTCATGTTTCCATTGTAACAACAACAAAATCTGTTTCACACCCAGGCCCCACAGGTCTCTCCTCCGGGCTCAGCAGAACCATTCTAAAACGCACTTTTGTTTGTACCTGTGGGAAGGAAAACTACTGCATTAGCAGAGTATTGTCTTGGACCCACATTCCCCTTGCAGCTACCAATGACCATGACCTTAAAGCTAGCAGCAAAATCACACTGAAAAACATAGGGTTAAGACACTAACACACAACTTTTTGCTAACCCACAAAGCAAGCACACTTTGTCTAGAAACGTGGAGAAACCTTCAGAAACTCATTCTCATTCTTTTGATTAAGATGGGCAAATACATCATCTAGCTCAATCAATCAGCCTGTGATACGGTGGAATATTCTACACAAGCCATAAAGGAAAGCAAATAGCTACAAATCAAAGTATGAGTAATATTTAATTCATCTGTCTCTCCAAAACTAGAAATGCCTGAATTTGAGAAAAGTGTGAATCTCTTTCCTCGTCAGGCCTCTGCACGAGGTTTGAGTCCTGCAAAAACACTCTCCTCTCACCTCACGGGGCACTCGTGATTGAATATGCACGGTACATCACTGTAATTTGTCATGCACTTTTGTGTCTGATTTAATCAGTTAGAATGCTGTATTTTTCTCTTTGCAAGATGTATTTATGATTGTGTATACCTGACCTTGAAGCACTGCATTTTCTTTGTGATGGATTTGTTCAGCTGTATCCGCGGTGAAATGATAGAAGCCCTTGCTTTGCTTAAATGATTTCTTATATTCATACTTAAACAAAAAATATCCAAGAATGTTTTCACAAACAAAACTCAGAAGGTTTTGCAATTTAAATATCGTTTAAAATAACTATAGGAGAAAAGCATAAAGGAAACTGTATTTTAAGTCTCCCAACTCAGGACTTCTCCTGATAAATATGAATTTAAAATATTGTGATGAAATGAAAAAATGATATGATAGAAAATAACTTTTGTAAGTTCCTAGAGAAAACGCTTGTCCTGCTCATCCAAATGTCAAATGTTTCTGTTCGCTAGAAAATAACCGTTTATTATTTACATTTGAAGTGCAAAGGAACACATATGATGGTCTGAGTTTGCCTCCTAGTGGAAAAAATTATAAATGTCACACAACAAAATCACTTCTGTAGTGGAAATGAAAATTATCTGTACAGATACAGACTTCACACTGTTACTCCATTCCTCAACTAACGGAACAAAATTTTTAAAAAATAAATAATTCTATAAAATCAAATGAGGTAAATTACACAACCTTTTGCCATACCAAACTACAGCCACCAGATTCAGTCTCTTAAGTGCTATTTATTCACCCTGTTCCATGAAATGAAACACATCTAAGTTCCTTTTTTTTTTAGCCTGTAGTGCATTAACATCTCAAAGTTTCTACAATAGGAACAGATTTAAAATGTGCAAAACAATAAACTAGCTGTTATACATATATCAAAGTTTAAAATTTGATGTCCCTGTAGTTCATGCCAAAGAGAATTATGTGTATACCATACGAGGGGAAAGTTCCACCTTGTGAACTCCCTTCCTCATCAAAATAAAGAAAATAGGAGAAGTTTAACCTGTCAGAATCAGTCTGTGTCCAAACATACTCATCAAGCTTTCCTCTTAACTGCTGGAATTTATTCCCATGGAAACTGACTTGTACAACAGCTTTGCATTGGTATTATAGTATATGATGTGTTTCATAAAGTTGCACACACTTCTACACTCTAGGGCACTCAGCAAACCAGTTCAATCAACAAAATTAGTTTATGAGTTTAACCATACATGTTACAATGTACCACACTGGGGCAGGTGTGGCAGCAAAACCAGGCAATTAGGAAGAAGCTCTGTTATTTCAGAAAGAAAAAAACAAACAAACAAACAAAACAGACCATACAATCAATCAGTCTTTGGAAATCAGTTAATGGCACAGTCAGGAAGACTGTTTCACACAGTGGAAGCAGACTTCAAGAAAGGTTTGGTATGAGCTGTGGAGAGACAAAGAGAACACAAAGAAATGTATTGGAAAAGTATGGAGAAAGGCAGGAGAGTAAGCCATCTTAAAATCAAAGAGATAACATGGGGAGGTTAAATCTGAGAAGGATTTTGCAAATGGGATTTCTGTAGAAGACAAATAGCTAGTGGAGACCTTAGGGATTGACAAAGCATTCTTCCTCCTGCTTGCAGCAAGAAAAAATATCCATCAGCATCTGGACAATGCAAAAATCAGAGATGTAATATTTATGGAGTCCTCAGAAGAGGGCATAGACAATATGAATCAAGCCTTCCTGGGAAAAAAAAAAAGAAATAAATTTTGTAAGAAGTGAACTGCTTTAAGGGAAAGTCCAGGTTTCTGTCTCATTAGAGATAAGATGATGAATTGATGAAGTTCATTCTGAGGGTGTTCATTTAATCAGCAAAAAGAATGGCAATCTCACCTTATACTGAAAGAAACTAAGCAAAACAAGATTTGCAAGGAAAGAAGTATCTTAGATCAAGAAAGCTAAAAATAAACAAGGTTTCAGACATAAGAAGAAATGCTCAAGTACCAGAAGTCTATGTGATTCTCACACAGTATATTGTTCTAATAACTGAAACAACTCTAAAAGCTCTTTTTCTTCATTATGTCCGCCAACTATGATGGTTACACGCTACAGTCTACTACATATGTGACCATGAAGCAAGTACCAAAAATTTATGTATTCTGCAGTGACTATACATACTACATTCCTTACTACATATATTTTTCAGATCAGTCTTATAAAAGCAACTTACATCGCTATGTGTTTTGCTGATATTTAAAGCATGGTTTAAATATAGCAGGTTTGGTAGTTCAGAGGCTGGATCATGTAGGCTTTCCAAATCTTTCTTGTAATTCACCTGTAAAGAGAATTCAAGCTACGTAAAATAAAGATAAACAAAATAATTCACAACTTGGACACTGTGGCTGTACAGAAATACAAGGCATTAAGTGCTTGCCTGGACAATCTCTACCAGCCACTAGATGGTGGTCATTTACTACTATTTGGAGGAAAAGGAAAAAATCAATAAAGGATTCATTCTACTGAGCAAATATTTGGGAACTATGCAAACTTTTCCTAGAAAAGGACACTTACAACGAAATCACACTTCGTATGACTTTTCAGACTAGAAAGGGATTATTACTACTTTTTTCTTTTTTCTCCTCCCCACCCCCACTCCCGAAAAATTAAATCAAGACTATTTTCTTCAATACTATGAGTTTACTCATTTTAAACACTGTTGATTCTTGTTCTTTTTCTCTTGATTCAGGAATTACACTAACTGTCCAAATAAAAAGTCGTATATAAAACAGTTAAAGGGAAGTGCTTATGGATATTTTATTTAACACAGATTGCTTTCAGCAAAGATAAGCAATACAGTCAACTAAGGCAAAAGATAATATCACTTAATGAAGTAGGAGAAGATATCTTCCTATCACCCTATAGCAGGATTTTCTGTACTACTGATAGCTGGATGCCCATCTTTACAGGAAGATTAGCCACCTTAACTATCTTGGATGACAAACCTTTTAAATCAATACTTTCAGTCACCTCCACATATGTATTGTATTCTTTGCCAACTTAAGACTTCAAATCAACAATACTCAGTTTGCATATCTAATAAAAATTAATTCAATGAATTTTTTACAAAATGTTTGGATTTTTGAAACAATTGTATGTTCTGTTGAACCCTTCCCAGATCTGGCCTCTCCTGTTCCCATCAGGTGGTGCCCCACACTTTGGAAATGCCAGACTACAAAATGAAGGGTTGTCTCTTGGCTATTTGGGATCACAGCCTCAAAGAAGAGCTCACGTTTTTAGCATTAGACACACTGTTAAAGATATCATCCCAACAGCATTATCACTTGATACAGATGTTTTCTCCAATCCAACTCCAGTAGCAGGCACCCACGCTGAATCTAGTAACTGCTGTACTTTGTAATACTGTTCAGAAGATCAACCAGCAGAATGAAGTCTAAAAGATAGACATCGAGATCTGAGCTGCTCGTGCTAATCCCCTTCTACAACCACTGGAGAGATGCCAGCACTTCACTCCTCTAAAGACCAGCACCTACAACAGGTCAGAATTGCCCTATAGACCTCTTTACTTCTTTTCCAAATAAAATGGACCAAGCACAAAGCGATTGGCTTAGAGTAAGCAGCCATACCTTTTGACACACAAAATTAGGTGAGACGACTCTCATCTAAAACGGTTATGAAAAACTCTGCAGGCCCTTGGAGAAGGGCTTTGTCAGAAACAGACGAAGAAATGAGTGACGTGCTGTACCTGCTATACAGACACACTGTATAGCAGAGACTGCTGCTCAGAGTAATTCATAAGACAGAAAAATACAAAGCGAATTCACTTACATCACTTGCCAAGGTGGATGCAATCTGTGCTTGCTTGAAGGACGCACTGTCAAGAGGATTGTATTGGTGGCTCTTCATGTCCTTATTGAACTGCTCTTTGTATCTCACCTTCCACCAGAACAAACATACGTGATGTTAACATGTATCACTTAAAGAAGTCACAGAGAATTCACGCTACAAAGGGGCTTATTAAAGGCAATTGCATTATCCATAAATCTTTAAACAACTAAGATATTTAAAGAAGCTCTGCTTAGCCACACCTGTGACTGTCTTGTGCTGGTTTCAAAGTAAGTTTTATGTTTCTGAATTTTACTAAAATAACAAAATAATTTTAAGATTGTCATATGCAATTAGGGATACTGAAAAATTTATAAAAAGGAAACAGAAACAAACCCTTATGACTCACCTGAGTAATCCAATAAACCAGAACCGTTTCACTAGCAATAATAATCTACTCATTGAGAGTCATTCAAATCATAATTAATATCAAAAATGTGTTTTTAATGAAAAAACAATTCATAAGATGAATAAATTGTAAAACTTGTAAAATAAATCACACATAAATTTTTCAACCACTTGAAAGTGGGAAGTCAGAATCAAACTTTCCACTCAGGCATCTTCCCACCACCAGGTCCACGTGTCACTCGCACTGTGTCAGGCTGTCACCAGAGCCCCAAGGTCTATTTTTAATTCTGCCAGAGATTTCCCACGAGACGCCAAGGAACCTCTCTATAGTACAGTCCCTTCTTGGGGATAATGCCCACCTCATTACAGTGTCAGAAAGCATAATTAAACGACTGTCTGCCACCACTTTCACTCTCTTTTCTTCTTGTTCAAAAGAAAAAAACGGAACGACAAGACATGTATGAAGAAGTGAGCAAGATATGAGTGTTGAGGCAATGGCACTAAAAGTAAATAAATCGCAAAAAATTCCATTAAAAATGCTGAAGAACTGAATTCAGAATCTGAAAATATGAAATTGAACAAATAGTAAATCTCCCTCCCTTGCCTGCCTTGTTGTGTGTGATCATCAAACATCTGGAGACTTTGCACATATGCCTTGCTTCTTTCCAACAGCTGGGCATAATGGAGGAGAATAAAGTTCAGTCTGAATTATGCTGCTTTCATGAACGTTAGTCAGACACCTGATATTTGAGCTTATGCAACATCCATTATAATTTACCACGCTCTGCATTAAATAAATACACGGCTTTTTCCTTACTCCTTTTTTCTCTATTCCCACATGAATGTCTGATAAAGTGGTTAAGCCACCTCAAACAACCTCCTTCAAAAATTACTTTTTTCTCAACTTTAGTTGTGGGAAGAATTTTTTTTCCTTTTTAGTTCTTCCTTGCCTCCAAAGCCTCTCAACATGGTTTAGCTTACGCAACCTCGTTATGTTTAGCCACGATGCCCACTATTTCATTAATCAGGATAACAAGAAACCAAAACTAAGCCACCCAAACAGAAACTAACTCTATATGTTCAAGAGCTACATTATGATTCCAGCACTTAACATTAATTTTTCAAAGGAAGGAAATTCTAAAACGCTGTTACTTTTAAAGAGAAACTTGATCTCAATACATGACGAACTTCATAATCTTTCACACTAGAAAAGGATATCTATTGCCTTCTGGTAGATTCATCTGGTTCATATCGTTTGATATTTGCCTTGGCTTTGGATCAAGCGCAAAAGCATATATCTGAATACAAAGACACTGTCTTTGTCAAAGGCAAATCCACATCCTGCATGAGCAGTGAAGGAACAAATCAGAGGGCTTTTCTCTTTTAAAAGGTGTATCCCAAACTTGCCTTTTAATAAAAGTCAGGCAGTTCTGGAACATGTGATTCAAAAATCCTCCAAAACCAGGGATCAAGTCAGCATGGTGAGCAAAATTGTCTTTTACTCCTTGGGCATCAACTCACATCATAACGACATCATGCACAAGAGTTTAAACATCCAACTACTGCAGGATAACTTCCGTCCAGCCAACAAATGGCCTCAAACCATGCACACAACCGAAAGCAAAACATGGTCCTTGATATTCTTGTGAAGTGTGAAAACATCAGTGCCAAAGGGACCTCTCCTCACAACTGGCTTGCCATGTTCCAGTTGCAGTCGTTTCATTTTTTAAAAGATTTTTTTTAGCAATACATTTCAATCTGGAGACGTCAGTAATAAATCCTCGTTGGTGTCACTTCAGATCAGATCACTGCTACTGAAAGAAAGAGAGGGAGCTGGGGAACCCAGTCTTCACAGGGCTGCGTGTCCTGATGCCGATGTGCAGGACAATCCCAATTTTAAGCAGACTGCCCGTCAATCCAACTGTAAATGTTCCTGTTGCAGCGAGGGATGTCCCGGTACCTCTAGGCCCTTCTGCCTTGTCTGGCTGCTCTGCTCATTGCCTTCCTTCTCCTCCCCAACATCACCGCACATGTCGCTCTGGGCAAATGGAGGCCACACAATAGTATCAGATGACCCTGGCAGTATCTGAAGAGCTCTTCCAGCAGTAATTTAACTCTGACTTGTCATAGGGGATTCATCTCATTGAAAGCTACACATGCATTCACTTTCTCTTTGATCGGTATTTTGCTGTTTCTTTCTCTCTTTTGAAAGCAAGCGTGGGGTGGGAGAGGGAGAAGAGAGAAGAGCAAGCCCATGGATGAGTCACTGTGAAGTAACACACACGGTATTTATCCTTCTTTTGAACAGGAAAAAGTTATGAATGCCATTTAAAGGGGGAAAATACGCCTGAGATAAAGGGTTCTGATTAAAAACAAGGAAGAATAACACTTCATCAGTGATTTCTAAAACCTCTGAGGTGGGGGATCTTAGCAATGCTGTAACATGATGGAAGAGCAAACAAAAAGTGGGAGTAGAAATGACAGTTGTTAGTGGAAGCTTATCTACAAATTTCTCTTTAACCAAAAGCTTTACTTTAATGAGGGTTTAAAACGATGGCTATTTATTTACCATCTTAATTAAAGTCTTAAGTTTGTTTATTTTTTTTTGAGGGCATGTGGTGGGGGTTAATTTAAAAGAAATGCGTGTAGGCTGCTCTCTAATTGTTGCTGAAGAAAGAGGAGACTTTGCAGGCTTTTAACACAACAACATCCTTGAAAAACCGAACTGGAATTAAATAAGGCCTGGATAAACAAACTTCTCATCAGCCTTTCACAAACCTATAAAAGTCAGAATTGCAGCTGGACAGAGTAGTGTCTTTTGAAGCTTTGCAGTAACATTCCTAAATCAAACCTGTAGTTCAAAGCTGTTCACACAGGGAGTGTTCAGTTTCAGAAGTGGATGACATCACCCACTGTTCAGATTTACAAAGAAAGTACAAAAATTGAATCATTCAACCACTGGGATCCCAGGATGAAGCAGGCATTCGCAGCTAAAGTATTTCCTCATGACCATACGAAAACGTATTTAAAAAAATGAAAAACCTGTCACAGGACACAGATATTGAAGGAAATGTAACATAAACAAAAAGCTACATTAAAACATTGGTTGCTAAAAGCACTAACAGAGTTTAAAGCTAAGAAAGACTGAGAAAAGCCTAGGCTCTTTGCATTGTTACTAATAATCTCAGAGAAGGTACATTTTGAAAAACATTCTCCTTCTAACAATTTTATCCCTGAAATAACAAGCACCACCTCCAGCATAAAATACGAATATCCAAAATTATTCATCATAAAACCAATTATTGAACACCATAAGAGGAATATTTCATATCAGCAGCTCTTTGAAAAGGCTAATAAAATGCATTAGAAGACATAAAGAAGATATAAACAAGAGCTTATTTAAAAAAAAAAAATAAATATGCAATGTACATTCAGTAAATTGACAAGCTTCATGTTGTTACAAGGGTTAACACAGTTTCTGCTTTAAATTTGGTTTAAAATCAACAAAAAGGGGTTATAGCGTGTTATAGGTAAATATACTAGTACTGGGAGCTATTATTTTTGCTGCTGCTGTTGTTAAAAGCTTTGTTAAATAAAATTTAAAAAAAAAAAAAGAAAAAAGGAAAAAGAGGGGAGGAGGTACACTGATTTTGCAGAGCCTTTAGTGCCAGTCAAACATTAACACTATTTTCTTCACTTTGTTTGCCTTCCTGCTTGTCTTGATTGCTTTCTCCCTTCGTTACACCCACACTGCCTGACCTCTTCTTGCTCCTGTTCTCTATACTCCCTAAATTACCTACCCATATGCACCACATTAAAACATGTTATCATCTTCTCTTCCCATTACATCCATCAGAATTGTCAACTTCGCAAATTTACTGTGAGGGTCAAATAACTAATATTTCTCTGCATGTCGCAGCTTATAGATTTGTGCTATTAAGGGAGATTATCAACTTTCAGCACAAAAAGTTTATAATGCTCCCATTTGCTGAGAAACAAATGGAAACCATAAAAGCCAGAAAGTATGGAGACAATAAAGAGATCATTAACTTCACTATTTTTTAAATCTTGTAATTGTTACAAGCCTGCTTCATGATTCTTGCATGAAGAGGACTGACGCAACTGACCCATATTTAGGGCTCTTCCTCTCCTACAGCACAGGTGCATTCCTCATCCTGCCCCATCGCCCTGCTCTTTGGACACAGGGGTCATCTTCATTTTTCCAGGCTCCTGATTTATGATCAGTGCGTCTAAGTGTTATGGTGATTCAAATAATATATAAAAGCATTAGACAACTCATGGCCACTGGCTTTCCTTCAGAGAAGGTGGGGGATTGCTGAGTGCATCTCCCCACTGCTGAAAGCAGCCTGGTACTTACAGCCTCCGTGCTGCTGCGTGCAGATGGCTGCCCACAGAGTGTCAGCCTGAAGCACTGCCTCCCTTTCTAGAAGTACGTGGCCCATCACACACACCACAAGCCGCCCCAACAGCGTAGATTGAGGAGCGGACAAGAAAAGGAAGGACTCCAAAACCTGGATCCAGGCCCAGTGGCTGCTGAGTTTGGACCACCAAGGTTTAGTAAGAATCGTCTTTACAAATAAACTGTAAGCAAGCTACATTTTGTCAACTGCTCCTCTCTTCCTGCCACACCTTCTGCACTAGTTAGACTCTCTAAAGAAGTTAAACTTCCACACCAAATGCTCTCTTCTGGAGAAGGATCCCAACTAGAATTGCTGCCATCCCAGTCTCTGGCAGTGAAGAGACTCTATTATAAAGCTTTTGCAGATGCAGCATGCATTGTCCAAGAGGAAAAGTACATCTAATAAAAATGAGATAAAAAGTGCATTGATTAAGCCTACAATGCAGCTGGCTCAGCACCACCCTGCAGGACCCCATGATCCAGCTGGTATTTTTCAATTCTTGCAATTGTTGGCCACAATCTCGGGGGTACCAGGCTTAGTGAGATGGAGAGGGCTATTGGAAAGGGATCTGCTTCGGTCTCATTTGCAACAACAGGCAGCTGCAAGTCCACTAGATTCTGAAATACGCTGCAAGGAAACGAGTGTGTAGACAGCCACTGAGTAGAAATAAAGGCTGCAATACACTAAATTTAGATATGAACCCTTTTAAAAACCACTAAAGATGTTTGCTAAATGACAGACAGCTCCCGTTCCTATAAGTGACACGGCAGCATAACACTGGCTCTTCCTAGAAAGCACAGGTTGACTTCCAAGTCCACACAATGCTAAACACAAAAGAATCTCTTGGTAGACTTGCTCATCAGCAGAGGAATAAGCACATGATAGAAGAAGGAAATCTATTTGGAAAAAAAAAAAACCACAAACTAATTTTGATTCTGAACACAACATTAACAAAGGAATAAAAACCCATGTATTTTCTTCTTTTTCCCTTTGTGCCATATGAATTTTTTTAAGTTAATGCTGGTCCAGTCTGAAACAGAAAATAATGTAGCAGATATGTAAAGAGAATGTTTGATGCAAAAGCAGTTCAATTTCTTGCAAGCAGACACTGCACTGCAGCTTGTTCTCTATGACACATTATTCTCATTTCATCCTAGTTCTAGGGAAAATGTTTAAAATTTACCAAATCACAAGTATTTGCTACACAACACGATGTTTCAGACTGTTCTAGTGTATACACTGCTACACTTGGGCTTTTTTTCTAGTTCTGAGAAAACTGACATGGTCTTCTCCAGTTCAAAAGTGTTATCCTTTTCCTACAGGAGGGCAGAATTTGTTCCTGGGTTTACAAAAGCTGTAAGTGTAGCCTGACAGGATTACTAGCAAGGATTATGCAAGGCACTGTTAAAGAAATACTTCAGAAAAAAAAAGAAAAAAGAAAAAAAAAAAGTCAAAAATCCCTTCTTACAATGTCAGACTGATCTGTAGTAGAGTCTTATGAGTAGATCTTACAAGCAGAAGACTCACAAGAGGAAAAGAGGAAATATTTGTGTTTTCAGTTTTCTTTTCAATTATAGACTAAAGTAATCCCTCCATTTTCCTTCTTTCCTTTTCTTTCCTTTCCTTTCCTTTTCTTTCCTTTCCTTTTTCTTTTTTTCTGGTTAATATATAACAGAAAGTAGTACATAAAAAGGTTCCATTTCAGGAGGAGGGAAGGCGGGTGGTTTACATGTCAGGCCATATTCAGATCCCATTACTCATATTAGCAAGCAGTTACACAAAAGACCCCAGTTACTTCAGTGGGATTAATCACAGGGTAAGGTTCCACTCAATCTGATTGAGCAGCAAAATTTGCCTCTATATTACATACAGTTAATATTTTAGAAATCCTTGATAATCTGTATAAATATACACCATCTCCACAAAAGATGAGTTGTAATAGTCAAAGTTCATTGTATTTTTGCATAAAAATGTGTATTCTGTTTCCTAAGAATCTTAAATTTACCAGGCATTGCAACACTATATGAAAAGAGTTTGAGAACGTAATCTTCATGCAATCAGAGATAATCATCTAAAAATCTAAATATTTTCTTGCATTACTAGGAAAGAGATATCTGAATGAAGTCATTGTAAAATGACAGAGAATCTTACTTGGCTTAACAGTTTTGAAACTCCTTTAGCATGTTCAAAATCTGGTCTTCCAAGTACAGCAGGCTCCTTATTCATCTCTCCTCTTCCTTTCTTGTACTCAGCCTTAAAATAAATAAATATGAATCACTATTAAACTGTTTGCTTTTGTTTTATCATGACAAATGTAAGCATTAAAGCTAGTAGTGAGCTGCATTGACAGTACTTTCAGAGCTGTTCTAATCAGCTCCAAAAAAGCCTTTCTCAGGCTTCAGCTCCTTAACAATGTAATATGTATTTATTGTAAAGCACAACGCATAGCGTTCCCAAAATTCAACTTTAACCAGACGCATAGCTTAAGCCTGAGAAATATTGTTCTCCCAATCAAGGCAGAATGAGTTACAGTGGCTCAGAATTTTTACAACAGGGTCTGCAGTTTACACAAGATTATTTGTAGCAGCTGAAACTGGTCTTGAAACAAAACTAGGCTGAGGGGCAGCTTTTTTGAAATGTAAGGTCAAATTCCACTCTCAGTTTTACCACTGTAATCTTGCTGGATGTCAGTGAGGTTGCACTGGTGTAACAGAGTGGAATTAGTCCCGCAGGGCTGGTGTTACGTGATCTATCTAGCTGAACTGCCTCCCATGCAAATTACTGCTATTTTTTTCTACAATGCATTAGAAAATAGCACAGATGAATCAACAATAGGTGCTTTGCAATATCACAAACCAAATTACCCATTGCCTAAAATAGGCTTCTTGCGTTGCTCGGGCACTGTGAATCAGCAAGGACACGTCATAACAACAGACTGAGAGAAATAAAAGTCCCAAAGCCACTCTAATTCAAAGAGGGCTTGAACAGCAACTAGTAAATTTGAGTGTTGAATATAAGACTTAGTAGAAGTTCTTGGTTTTCAGAAAATCCTGGATATTCAAAAGGTGAATCTCAGGTCTCTTAAAACTGTCTCTCCATAGGTGCCCAGTCAGTCGCACATGAAACTATTAGCGGTTACCTAAAATCCTGGCTCAGGGCTTTTAATATATATATTGTTTGAGCTGTCTACAATAAAATACTAAACTGCATCACACATTGCTGCTTCTCAAACTGCTCCTTGACCTATCCATTAGTAGATGTCATGGTGGGAGGGAAAAGAATTTGAGAGGGAAGTTCAGAGAGGAGAGCCCCCATGCAAGAGGCGGAGTGTTTGCACAGCTCTCAGAAGGTTTATTGCACTTCCCTACCGCTGCTCACCCAGATGAGAGGAGGAAGGGGAGCCTTGGGATGCGAGCTTCTCTTGTATTGAGGTGAAAAAAGACTTGGTATGACTTCTAAAGTACAGTATAGCATATAAGCATATGACTTATTTTGAGAATCGTTATCATGAATAAAGCTGAAATAAAATCAACTTTAGCAAGCTTAACGTTGTCTTTGGATCAATGACCAATAATTGCAAAGGTCATACTGTCAACACCACAAGAGAAGAAATCCATAACTTTGTAACATACCAGGCAAGGGGGTATTTATACAGAATCATAGTATGGTTAGGGTTGGAAGAGACCTTAAAGATC